GTGGGTTTTAATGCAGTTTTTAGTTTTTGAATACATGTTTTTTGATGGTCATTAAGAATTTTCCTCCAATACCAAGGTTATTTAATTTGAATAACAAACCTTCCCGCCAAACGGAATCAAAAGCTTTGCTGAAATCTACAAAACATGAGTAAATTCGGTCGTTCTTGCTTAGGTATTTGCTGACTAAAGTGGTTAATACAATTAAGTTATCGGATGGTCTATAGTGTTTTCTGAAACCGGCCTGTTGAGGTTTGAAAAGGCTGTTCTGTTCCGCATAGTTAACAAGTCGATTGTTTAAGATAGAAGTAAATAATTTTCCCAAACAACTGATGATAGAGATGCCGCGGTAATTATCAGGGAGAGAGGTATCTCCAGATTTATGTATGGGGACGATGTGGCTAAGAGACCAATCGTCTGGGAAGTAACCATTTTGCAAGCAGGAGTTGAACAGGTGAAGAATTGGTTTCTGAAGAATATGTTTACCACATTTTAACATTTCATTTGTTACCATGTCACTACTGCTAGATTTGTTGTTTTTCAGGTTAAAAATGGCGGTGTTTAATTCCTGAGCAGTTACTAAATAATCTAGAGCTGGGTACTCTGCAGGTGTTTGAGTATCTAAGTTTTCGCTGGCAGGGAGTTCTGTTTCTGAATTAATAATGGTATCTGTTGTAGCTTTGTCTACGGCGCTAAAATGTTTTAACCACATGTCATTTGAAATTTGACAGCTCTGTTGTGTTTTGTTGGGTTTAAGTTCGTTCAGTAGTTTCCAGAATGCGTTTGGGTCTTTTTCTCTAAGGGAAGAAAGTTGGTCCATAATTTGCTGGTGAAAATCTCTCTTTTTCTTTTTTACTAATTTTCTGTATTCCTTCTTTCTTTTGAAAAACATTCCCCTTACATGAGGGTTTAAAGGATTTTTCTCAAGTAAAGAGGCTAAGTTTTTAAGTTCCCGTTTCATTTCGGTACAGCTTTTATCGAACCATTTTTACCTCCATGAAAAATGGAGGTATTGTTTTTGGCGTGTCTGTCTGTATGTCTGTCTGTCTGTCTGTCTGTCTGTGTGTCTGTGTGTCTGTCTGTCTGTGTTTCCGCAACTTTGTAGTCAGCATAACTTCAGAACGCCTTTATGGATTGCGATGATATTTGGTATGATGGTAAGTCTTGGAAAGACAAAGGTCAAGGTCAAGTATGGGCCTCCTGGTGGATGACCTTGGTACTGCAGCAGAACTTCCGGTTTTTGTATCTTTTGTCCTGAACAAGATATGGTCTTGACTTTTTGGTGACAAATAGCTAATCCTGTCAGGAATAAGTGGCGTAAGTTTGATCCCCCTAGCAGCTTGTTCTGGAACTGCAGGTTAGTTTCTGGTAAAAACTTTCAAAGCCAATAAGTCCAGATTGGAACAACATATTTTCATCATTTTTGGTGTGTAGGTAGCTGAGAGAGAGATGTACATGATTAAATGCAAATTATGCAAATGAGGACTTAATTTGCATAATTAATGAGGAAATTCTATAATTACAGTGTTTCATATAATTGTACTGCTATACATGTAATCTATTCAATCTGTGGCAGGCGGAACATGAACAGATACCAATTATGCAAATGATGACCTAATTTGCATAATTAATGTGAAAATTATGTGAATCCTTATTGGTGAATGATGGGAATTTTATACCTCGTAACACGTGTAAGTTACTTAAAGGTTTGCATCGCTATGCATATATTATGTTAATGTAGAGGTTATTTGCATAATTAATGAGGACAAAGCACGCCCATATTTCATGGAGGTATGAGATCTCAGAACTCTTGTTTGTTACGATTTTTGTGTGGACGTTTTTTATTTACCCTTACGCATAATGAATTATAGCCAGCGTCTCTTAGAACGGCGGTGAAGTCGGAGACAAGATTTTCAATTTCATTGTTTGTATTTTCCGTTTCTTTTTCTGACAAACTGTTTAATCGTTTTAATATGTGGGGTTGGCCGAGCGATAGTAGAAATTTTTGAGCTGAATTTTCGTTCCAGTGGAAACGTTAGGTGGTGGTTTTCTGTTTTCTTGTTTTGTCTTCTTATTGTGGATACATGGTTTTGTTCGAATTATTACAGATAACATGTTATGATCGGAGAATATAGTTAACGGATTTACGCGGAATAGTGATATATGCTCAAATAATGACTGGCTGGCAATCATGTAGTCCACCGTACTACTACCGTTTGGTTGATGACAGGTATAATTTCCCTGCAAGTCACCAGCTACTCTACCGTTAAGGATTCTAATATTGGCTTGAATGCATAGATCTGTAAGAAACCGGCCGAATTTATTTGGGGGAGCTTTATCCATGTATTGTCTGTCTTGATTATAATTTTGGGGAAAGTTTGGTGGTCCTTCGTGTAAAGAATCATCTTCGACAAAGTCATGTAAATTTCCTAGTCTTGAGTTAAAATCACCACCGATAAGAATAAAACCTTCTGAACTATATTTTGAAATTTCTTCTTCTAAGATTTCAATCACATGATTTTCAGCATATTTGTGAGTTGTAGATGTGCTCGGGCTGATGTAGACAGAACAAATAAATATATCTTTAGATAACCCCAATAACTTGCGGTCTACCTGAACCCAAAGTACATCAGTCGATTTTGAATGGACTTGTTTAACATGGTGTTTATATTGCTCTTTGAAGAAGAAAATTATACCTCCTGAATAGCGTTTTGCACGTTTGTTCTTTTTTCGGTGTAAATGAAAATAGCTATAGTTAGGGATTCTTATTTCTGTTTTATCAGAACTCCATGTTTCTAGAAGCGAGATAAAGTCAAATTTGTTGACATGAGACAAAAATCTAAGTCAATCGACATCTAATTTGGAACCCAAACCATGGACGTTCCAACAACAAAAGCTCTTGTGTCCTCCTGGAAACACTCTCATATCAAATGTGGCTTAAAACAATGGCAAGAAAAAAAGTGAAATATTGCGTCTTTATCCCAGCTGTACCTACAACAGAGATGCGCTGAGTGTTACACAGGCTTTTCTAAATTCTATTTTATATCTACCGACTATTTGCTATCTTACTAACACAAATATCGTGATTTGTAAAGATATTCTTGTAAAGAACTAGGCATACGCCAAAGTTATTGTATATCTCTTACTGGTACCTCTACCACACATTGATGGACGGTTGTCTTCTCCACGGCATGCCGGCTTGCCACGACCAGGGAGGGAGCGGGAACTGGAAACTTGCAGCCGGGTGACAGTTCGGGGCTGGTCGGTAAGGCTGGTCAGGATAGCGTCCGTTGTTTCTTGGAGGGTGGCTGGGCGCGGAGACAAACGGGATTGGCATTCTCCACGGCCCTGAATGATGGTAGAAAGGTGGCATTCCCCACGATCCCACAGGCAGATGTCCCCAGGGGCCATCAGGAAACATAGAGGGAGGGGGTCCGATCGATGTTGGACGGTGGTCGGGTGCCGG